GAGAGAGAGAGAGAGAGAGAGAGAGAGAGAGAGAGAGAGAGAGAGAGAGAGAGGGAGCGAGGGAGGAGGGAGGGAGAGAGAGAGAGAGAGAGAGAGAGATCTGTGCTATTTGCAATGAAGCCTTGGGAACTCTCTCAAGTGGACGAGCGCTCCGATTTGTGGTGGGCTTGCTGTTATTATAGCGTAATAATAATGTGCACTCAACTTCACTGCAGTGTGAGTGTGAGTCCATTCCATTGAACACAGCAAGCTGTGAAGTTGATTTCCTTGTGAGTAATTTCATCATCCATCTTTACCCAATGTTCACCCAACTCCACTGCAGCTTGCCGTTTCCTTGAGGGTAGAGAGTCTAGAGACCAACACCAACTTCAGAAGATGCAGCGATGTTGGTACCTTGAGTACGAACGTTTGTTTGAAACTTCGGAGAGCTGAATTGGAATTGAAACTTCACAGCCAAAAATCACACAGTAAGAGTCAATTGACTTTGACTGTTGGACGTTGTGGTCGTCTACCACAGATGTATTTGAGCACACAGTGCGATATCGGTTCTCTTCAGCCACAGCTATATCGGAGCGGAAGTTTTGCTCTTGCGCTTGGTGCCGAACCTGGTCCTAAGGTATAATTACTAATTACTTTTGTGACTTTTGTCAAGTTTTGTCCCAAAATTGTGGATTGTGGTACCTTGAATTGCTCAATATACCCCCCTGTTTAACCCCCTGTTTAACCCCCTGTTATTAATCCAATGGCTTCTGTGTTAAAAAGGTACTAAGTTACTACTAACCAGATTACCTTACGACACAAAAAAGTTACTACTAACCATATTACCTTACTGTAGTTAACCCCCTGTTATTAATTTAACAGACAGGGGGTTAAAAAGGGGGTTAAAAAGGGGGTTAAGAAGGGGGTTGAACAGGGGGTTAAAAAGGGGGTTAAACAGGGGGTTATCTTAACGCCACCCGAAGGACTAAAAAGCTGTTGTCACGAGTCATTAACTCAAGTAAGGTAATCTTCGTAATTATCTAGTTAATAATTCAATAGTGTAGTCCTTTTGGACATCCATTAAAATTGGAAGGGTACAGAGAAGAGACTACCACTATCGCTCCACGGCTGCTCCCGCTTTTCTGGCAACGTGCACAACAACAGCAACAGTAACAACAACAACAACCAGAAGAAGAAGAAGAAGAAGAAGAAAGAAGAAGAAGAAGAACCACAAGAAGAAGAAGAAGAAGAAGAATCACAAGAAGAAGAAGAAGAAGAAGAACAACAACCACAAGAAGAAGAAGAAGAAGTACGGGGAAATCCCACTGGTTCAAAGGAATGATTCTGCGGGGTCTAATGGATCATAGTTCTAGAGGTTTTTAAGCTTTTTAGATATTCGCGCGTGGACCACAATTCAAGAGGGGTGTTTAAATATTTTCTGGTGGACCACGGTTCTAGAAGGGGGGTTTTATATATATGTTCTGGTGAGTGTCTCCCATCCCACTCAAGCACACGACTCCCCTGAGCGAGGATGGCTCCCTTGCGGAGGGAGCTGAAACATGTCAGGACAATCCGCTATGGAAGTTACGCTGCCGTCTTGTTTCTTTCGAAGCTTCATTCATGCGCTTTGACTACTTCGTCTCTGCACACGATTTTTTTCGAGCACCTTCTACGTCTGTCTCCTCTCTCCTCTCTCCGCTGCCTCCGAGCCGAAACATGTCAGGACAATCCACTATGGAAGTTACGCTGCCGTCTTGTATCTTTCCAAGCTTCGTTCGTGCGCTTTGACTACTTTGTCTCTGCGCACAATTTTTTTTTCGAGTACCTTCTACGTCTGTCTCCTCTCTCCTCTCTCCTCTCTCCTCCTCTTTTTCTTCTTTTTCTTCTTCTTCTCTTTCTTCTTCTTTTTCTTCTTCTTCTTCTTCTTCTTCGTCGTCGTCGTCGTCGCCATCGCCGTCATCGTCGTTGCCATCGCCGTCGTCGTTGTCGTCGTCCTCTTCTTCTTCTTCTTTTTCTTCTTCTTCTTCTTCTTCTTCTTCTTCTTTTTCTTCTTCTTCTTCTTCTTCTTCTTCTTCTTCGCCGTCGCCGTCGTTGTCGTCGTCCTCTTCTTCTTCTTCTTCTTCTTCTTCTCTCTGTTACGATCCTGGGCAATTTCGAAGTGCAAAATTCATGAGAAAGCACAATGCCGTCCAATTGCAAAAAGGAAATGAATGGACTGGAGAGGAGAGAGGGATAGGGAAGAAGAAGAAGAAGAAAGAAAGAAGAAGAAGAAGAAGAAGAAGAAGAAGATGTACACCAGCGAAAGACCAATGATAACTCCCCCTCCTTCTCGCCAACCAAACTCCTCCTCCTTTTCTCCTCCCCTCTTCTTCGAACAATAAACAAGAATAATGATGACCAATGGCAGAACCAGAATCAATGTCGGAATCCCACTTCTACTGCTTGGCATCTCTAGTGGTCCACCATAGCTATGGCCTCTATGGCAGACTACGAAGGGCCTAGCCCTGCTGTGCAAAAGACAACAGTGCAAAGCAGCTATGGCTGCCCTTGTTCAGGCCGCCATGCCGGACTGTGCCTTGAAGCCCTCTTGGTGCAGCGCAACCCCAACTGGCCCCTACAGATGCAGCGTCTAACAAGGTGATGAAGATGGCGCCGACCAGAGCCAGGTACGTACCTCGCCACTCTCCTCCCTAGTCCCCTTCTTCCTCGTCCTCCTACCGGAAGAGCTCCTTCCCAGCCGAGGTGGAAGCTCCCGCCCTTCTTCCTCTTCCCAGCGCTGTAATGCCCAGCGCTCTTCCTCCTCACAGCTCTCTGAAGTACAGCACTTGCTCAAGCAGCTGCTCAAGCAGCATGTCGCCCGACCTTGCATACCGCAAATGAGGAGCAGCAGTTATAGCAGCCTACCTGCCTCTTGAGCGGTGATTTCCAGGCCGCGCCGCCTCCAAGCCACCGGGTACCTCCTCCCTTTCGGAGAGAAACATCATCGCAGGCTCTGATATCGCCTGCACAGGCCCTAGACTCAGGCTACTCGGACTTGTACCCACCTAGACCTAGCCTACCAACTTCTGGGGCTCTGAAAATGCCACCTTTTGTCTTCTTCTGATCGGCCTCCAGTTCCTGACACATCTACAGCAAGGCATTCATTCCACCGGCAAAACCCAGAAATCAGAAGTGTTCTCATTCTATGTTTTGACGGGTCATTACATCTCTCTCTCTCTCTCTCTCTCTCTCTCTCTCTCTCTCTCACACACACACACACACACACTGCGTCTGGTAGTGGACCCACGAATTTGAGAGGTGTACAGTGGACACTAAGTGGAGCGCTGCCACGTTTTAACTCTCTGACTGCTGTCTGTGAACTGTCCAACAAATTCGTACAATGGACAGTAGTGCAGGGAGGCCCTATCTGTGCCAACGAAACTTTTTATACAAGAAGGTTTTTTCTTTTCTTCTTCTTCTTTTTTATATAGTATAGAATTTAGTATTTAGTATTTACTATTTACTATTTTTTTTGTAATTTCCTAATTTGTCTTCTCTTCTCCTGTCTGTCCGTTTCGCTGCGATTGCAGATGACACCTGAATGTGCTGTGGTGAAGTTGATGCTCTGCCTTGCCCATCCCGACATTCCCCTCGGGCAGCCAATTGCAGGTGAACTTTGAATGAGCCAACAGGTTGGACGGAGAAATACTAAAATAGTCGTCGCAGTGATCACATGGGGGAGGCAACGGTCGAGGCAGGTGAATGCTATCTAGTAATGACAAATGAATCCCCCAATCCGCGTCGCCAACAATTGGAGTCACTGCGAATTGGAGGTGAACTTTCAGCGGACTGACACGACTGACACGTCAGACTGAGAAAACACGTCAGATGGAGAAGCAGTCGTGGCAGTGATGGCAAGGTTGTCGAAGGCCAAAGCAGCTGAATGTCATCTAACGACAAATGATTCCCTGATCCCCGTCGCTGACTCGCTGCCAATTGGGGTCACTGCAAATTGCAGGTGAACTTTCAGCGGACTGACACGACTGACACGTCAGACGGAGAAATAGTTGTGGCAGTGATCGGAACGGAGTCAAAGGTCGAAGCACGTGAATGATGTCATCTGACGACAAATGAAACCCCAATCCCCGTCCCCGCTGCCAATTGGGTTGACTTGAAATTGCAGGTGAACTTTCAGCGGACCGACACGTCAGACATGTCAGACGGAGACATAGTCGTGGCAGTGATCGGAATGGAGTCGAAGTGTCAAAGCAGGTGAATGTCGTCTGACGACAAGCGAATCCCCATCGGGCCATCGCCAAGTGGGGTCACTGCCAAATTAATGCCACTTGTGGGTGAGTAACCTTCGGATGGACCGACACGTCAGACGGAGAAAAAAATAGTCGTCGCAGTGATCCCCCGGGAGTCAAACGTCAAAGCAGGTGGATGTCATTCTAACGACAAAAAAAAAAAAGGATTCCCCATTGCAATCTGAGCATGCCTCTTCGATCGGCGTGGCTGCTGCGGGCGGTTCTATCCTGGATCGGGTGGTGCGGTTTCCGCACGAAGTACAGGGTGGAGAGAGATGAAAAGTGAAAACAATCTTGTCGAGGACTACACTACATACCACAGTACAACTACATCGTAATGCATGAACAGTGAACACCTTCATGCCAAAAGCATTAACCCCCATGCCCACACCTTCGCCCTCGTACTGCTCAGTCTGTGTTGGAGCACTCGCTCCTCCTCCTTGAATATCTATCTTCTACCTCGACTAGGTAGTATGCCCAATTTAGCCGTTCCTTGTTCCCCACTCGTGCGGAATCGACGACGTACCAGTCCCGCTACCTTTTGGGCCCGTCGCCACCAATTGGGGTCCTGCTATTTCACCGGGTGGAGTGAGGTGGCAATCCTCGCGTTCCGTGTTCTCTCCAGGCTGAAGTTGTTTCTCTCGAATTGCATCCTGCTGCAATTGTCGCCAATTTGACTTCACGTCGATCTTTTGATTGTGTGTTCATATTATACTCATCTCTGCCGCTGCTGCGGATGTAGTGGCCAAGAGGACATGCGAGAAAGGTGTGGCATGGTACGAATACGACAGTCAGCCAGCAAGTGAAGGAAAAAAAAGGGAGGAAAAAACGACACTCGGCCATTGAATTTTGCAGATGGACTGGGAAATGGATGGACACAAAAACGCCCGTGGCGATGATCGTATGGCACACGAAGCAAATGGATGTGACTTTTGACAATCGGCCCTCGTCGTCAGCTGAGCGAGACGGCGTGAAGAGAGCGGCACAAGTACAACCTTCAGCAACGCGCAGATGGAACTTCAAGAGGTTCCAGGGGAGGGCCAGAAAAATTGGGACCAGAAAAAGTTGGGACCAGAAAAAGTTGGGACCAGAAAAAGTTGGGACCAGAAAAACGTTGGGACCAGAGAAAGTTGGGACCAGAAAAAAGTTGGGACCAGAAAAAGTTGGGACCAGAAAAAAGTTGGGACCAGAAAGAGTTGGGACAGTAATCACATGACCAACTGGCCTCGTCGTCAGCTAAACAAGACGGCGTGTACAGGGCGGCACGAGTACGACCTTCAGCAAACCGCAAATGAAACTACAAGCGGAGGGCCAGAAAGAAGTCGCACAATGGACAAGGCCGGGCTGCAAACAGTTGTGGCAAATGATAGTATGCTAGCCGTCGTAAGGAGGGTTGAGTATCCCTGGGTTTTTCTTTCCTAAACAAGTAAGTTGAGTAGGAAAGGTAGGTACTATGCCACATTCGAGCGACCCTACTGTGGAAACAGTTATGGGCTCACTTAGCCACTGACTTTCCTTAACAGGAAAGCTCATTAGCAAAAGGTAGTTATGCCACATTCAAGCAATTTTTACCAAGGAATAAGTTTACGGGCTGGCTTAGCCAGTGACTTTCCTAAAAAGGTAACCTCAGTACCAAACGGCAGCTATGCCACATTCAAGCAAATTTTACTGAGGAAGAAGTTTATGATGTCCCTAGGCCAACGACTTTTTCCTAAACAGGTATGCTCAGTAGGAAAAGATAGAGTCTGTTAGACCACATTCAAGCAATTTTTACCGAGGAACAAGTTTATGGGCTTGCTTAGCCACTGACTTTCCTAAACAAGTACGTCCATTAGGAAAGGTTCTTATACGACATTCAAGCAAGTTGAACGAGGGAGAGTCATTATAAACCGACTTTCCCTAAATAAGAAAATTGCAGTAGGAAAGTGCTCAGTATCCTTGACTTCTTCCCTAAAGAAGTAAGCCACATTCAAGCAACGTTGAATGAGGAAGCTATAATTACGACGCAGCTTCGCCCGGACTTTCCTAAACAAGTACATTCATTCAGTAGGAAAGGTAGTTACACCTCATTTAAGCAAGCTGGATGAGTACGTTATTATGGCCCAACTTTCCTAAATAGGTAATTTGAGTAGAAAAAGGTAGGTCCCACATACCCGCCCCCGGCAAATAATCCTAAAGTAGGTTTTTTTTTTTTTTTTTTTTTTTTTTTTTTTTTTTTTTTTTTTCCCCCCCCCCCCCCCCCCCCCCCCCCCCCCCCTTTCCTTTTTCTCTCATACATCCTATAGAGTGGCCGTAGCAGGACGGGTCCTACGTACTTACGATGCCTGCAGGCGGGCCCCCGTTAAAATCTTACGATGCCTGCGGGATGGGCTTCATCCGGGATAGTGCCTGGTCTGTCATACCCACTGGAGAGGTCACTTAGAGGTACACATCAAGGGGATTCCTCCAGGTTGAAGACTCATCTGGGAAGGGTAGGGTGGTTGTCGTACCGTTCATAGAGGTGTGGTTCGCCACCAGAGTCTGTGAGGTTGATGCAGGTTGGAAATAGCCCAATCTGCTCCGGGTCGTCCCTGAGTAATCAGGGTGTTCCTCTGTGGTAGCAGTCAGGGGTCTGTAGTTAGATCCTTGGCACATTGCGGGTTTTTGAGCCTTGGTCTAGTTAGCCTAGGTCTAGGTAACCAGCTATAGGGGCTCGACTTACGACAGTTAAAAAGGTAACAAAGTTAAAGTATAGTCTCCCCGAAAATGTGGAACCTCCAAAGTGACATCCCCACTGGTTGAACATGCAAATCCGACACTTCCGGAGGCATAGAGCCCAGCCGCTACTGCCACATGAACCTTTCTTACAAAAAAAAAAGAAAAAAAAAAAAAAAGCAAACGCTACTTTGGGCCCTTCGGGGCAGGAGCTAAAATTGAAACGATAGTGACGATACAGAGAAGACGAGCAAGGGCATCTGTGCAAAAATGACAAGCATATATCGAGAGGTAGTCAAAAAAAAAGAAAAAAAAAAAAAAAGCAAACGCTACTTTGGGCCCTTCGGGGCAGGAGCTAAAATTGAAACGATAGTGACGATACAGAGAAGACGAGCAAGGGCATCTGTGCAAAAATGACAAGCATATATCGAGAGGTAGTCAAAATTAAACAAAAAAGAAAAAAGAAAAAAAACAAATATAAAAAAAAAAAACAGGGAAAAGACTGTCAAGCATCAACGGCGTGAAAGTATGAACCTCCAATTTTAATTTTCAGTCGTAATATGCATAACGTGAAACAATGTGCATGAAGCTCCCCTCCCACCCACACAAAAAAAACACCTCGGAAAAAACGTCGCTATGCCATTTCAGGATGTCCCACTTGTCACTCTCTCAGCAGCGAACAGCTCATCATCCCATCGGTGTGACATAGGTCTGTGGCCGACAACATGAAATAGGCCCAACAATGTCAACACATGTGAAAACATGTTCTCTCTCTCTCTCTCTCTCTCTCTCTCTCTCTCTCTCTCTCTCTCTCCACACACACTTGACAACATTTGGGTAATTATTCCGTTGGTAGAATGCGTTATTTAGTATTTACACAGAGACACATACGCATGCACGCACACACACACACACACACACACACACACACACACACACACACACATCATCACACACACACACACACACACACACACACACACACACACACACACACAGGACAGAACCAGACACAGGCACACACACATCAAGCTAGGTGATAGTATGTACAGTTTCACTGTTAGTGATGCCATCCTGTTCGTTCTCTCGTGTGGGAGTAACAGATCAACAGGAGGACATTTCTCACCTTTTGGCCAAAAATAGAACAAGTGCATTGTATTTGTTCTGATGATCAGTTTACTATCTGATCCGTAGTCTCCACCGGACCATACTAAAAATAAAAATAAAAATAAATGTAAAGGCAAATATTATACAAATACATGTACAGTATCATATCATACATTGTTCAAAGTTGCTCGGTACAAGAACATAGAGCTCAGGGACAAAACAGTGAGTCGATTGTCCTTTGGGACATCCGTTAAAATTGGAACGATACAGAGAAGGGTAAATTAGCAAATGGCCCCTCCGCAAGGATGCCGCGCATAAATCGACAAATTGTCCACATTTTTATGATACCCAAAAAAAAATAAAAAAAATAAAAAAAAATTGTGAGTTGATTGTAACATAAATTAGATGACAGTTACATGGCACCTCCTATCTTAGGAGAGAAAAGAAAAGGAAAATACTGTAACATGATATCGAACTTGATCAATCCCCTGTATAAGCCTTATATGTTTAATTATATCAGTTCTTCCTCCTATCTTAGGAGAGAAAAGAAAAGGAAAATACTATATATATATATATCGTCACAGCCCCTCGTTTGTTGTCCTCTTCTGTCTCTCTGCCTACGGTTTACCGGGCAGTTCTATTTGTGACGATATATATCGTCAAATATATATATTAATTCTGTAACATGATATCGAACTTGTTCAATCCCCTGTGTAAGCCTTAGGAGTAGCAGGAGGTAGGTAGTGAAGGTGAATTGAAAGAATTTGAAAGATGAACAAAAATTTGAGAGAAGAAGGGAGCATACAGTAAAAGAGAGAGAGAGAGAGAGAGAGAGAGAGAGAGAGAGAGAGAGAGAGAGAGAGAGCCTTTGTAGTAGTGGTAGTTAAAAAAAAAAGCGAGAGAGAGAGAGAGAACGAGAGAGAGAGAGAGAGAGAGAGAGAGCTTTTGTAGTCGTGGTTTTGTAGTAGTGGTAGTTAAAAAAAAAAGAGAGAGAGAGAGAGAGAACGAGAGAGAGAGAGAGAGAGCTTTTGTAGTCGTGGT